TAAAAAATGACTACTGCAGCATTCTACGCATAGGGCAGGCAGAATGTAAGAGAAAGACAAAGCTATTTATCCCAACTGCATGCAGATTACGTTGGTAACTCATTTGTACCTCATTCCAGTTTAAAGTGACAGTGTTGCAACCTTTACAGCAGACTTTAAGCTTTCTCAGGAGGAAGACTACACTTCCTCCTGGATTCTGGATTGTGCTAGAGCAAAAATTAATTTTAACTTCATTTCAAATTAAATTCCATTATCACATTAATCAGGCTGTTTAATCAGTCTGACTAAAGAATTAATCAGGTCATGCCCGTATGCTAATTCTTCATCTACTCAGTGTTAATCACATTAATAATTACTAGATTACAGTTTGGCTTTTGGAGTCAGACCCAAGTTGTGGGAGAATCCATTCACACCTATTTTAAATCTCCCAATAGCTTAGAGCAGGGGTGTCAAACTGCCGGCCTGCGGGCCGGACACATCATCCGGAAGCCGCGCCCACCCCATTGCCGGCAATGGCAAAGCCGTCCCGATAACTTGTGCGGCATTACGTGATGTCGTGAGTTTGACATGTCTGACATAGAGATGGTTTCATTTTATTTATTTATTAAATGTATATGCTACCCATCTCACTGTTGAATGACTGTGGGCAGCTTAGAGTACAATGTCATAAAGCACTATGTAAAACAATTAGAGCATTAAAACATTAAGCATTCAACATTAAAATGAACAAAAAAAATGGATAAAAATCAAAATTACATTTTTCCAGTTACTTGTGCAGCATTACCATTTTTTGACATTTACAATTTTTAGAATTCAGTTTCCCTTGGTTTATTTCTTATAAATTAATATTTACACCATTTGTTTCATTTCTATTCTTCAATACTTATTTCCATACTAATCTCTAAAAAACTATTTCCATTATTCTCTGACTTCATTTTTCCTGAAATAATTGCCATCCATGCTAGAGACTCCTTATTTAGCTGCCTCCATCCATTTTCAAAATGATGTTTAATTTCCATCAAAATTGCTCAGCATTTTTTCTTTCAATCTGAATTGTTTCTTGCTCTCTTTGACAACATTCTTCACGATTACTATTTTCTCATTTTACAGTGGTTCACTCATTCTTAGAGCAATCATTTATTTATTTATTATGAAATTTATATGCTGCCCCATCTCGCCTACAGGCAATCTCTAAGTGGCTTACAACAAGTAATCATTCCCTTATTAGCATTTTTTCCCATTCACATCCTCTTCCACTTCTTCCATTTCATTAAGAATCTTCTTTTTTCATATTTCCCATTAACTCCAACTATCTGTTGCATTTTAAAAGATTTTTTTCATTCTTTTCCAAGAAATTTTCACATCTCTTTTTCCCACCTTTGCATTCATTTTCCATTTATTTTGCTTATCTAGTAATTTTCAACCAGGACTCATACTTTCACTTTTTATGGTTTTCTACTCCATTGGACTGGATTACCTCTAACCTTCCAGCTCTATGATCCTATAGTTCCACTTTTTTCCATTTTTTTCAGTTCTTTCCTTTTTTTCCATGCCCATTTTTCCCAAAGATCTATTCTTGATAGTACCAAGTAATGGCTTGTTCCACCTTCAGAATCTCTCATTGTTCCTCTACTTTTCTTAATTCCTCAATCTTTTATTATAAACAAATCAGTCATTCAGTTCATTCCTTTACCATTTGTATGTATGAATAGATTTTTCAGCCAATTAATATTCAAAACAAGCAGATGCTCTTGTAAACACACCTACCAAGCAGACACAATTCTCATTCATTTTGGTTTTGTGGCCCAGTTATTTTTCTGTATTGTCTCATGTAGTTCCCACCCATCCATTCATGCCATCTAGCAGAATAACTTTTTTTCTAAATCATAGTCATAAAGAATGTTGCATAATTTCCCTCAAAAGTCATTCCTGGTTTTGTTCTTTCATTATCACTAACCCCCCCCCCGGGGGGGGCATAACTTGCAACTATTGCCAACCTATGAGTTTTTATTCATATCCATATCATTCAAGGTAACACAAATTCATTTAGTTTTTGCATTCATAAACAAATTTCAACCTTCATTTCCATGACTGCTCAGGCTATCCTAATGATAATGATGATGATCTCCTCCTCCTCCTCCTCTTCCTCCTCTTCCTCCTCCTCCTCCTCCTCCTCCTCCTCCTCCTCCTCCTCCTCCTCCTCCCTTATCCCTTCTCCCTTCCTGTCTGTCTGTCTGTCTGTCTGTCTGTCTGTCTGTCTGTCTGTTTATCTATCTATCTATCTATCTCTTCCATCATCACCAACAGATGGGACTGACGTCTACTCCGTCATGGCTTTGATAAACCAAGTCTTTCACACCATGGTTTTTAATAAAATAAGAACTAGTAACAAAGGTAACTAACCTTTGTTGTACCCATATCATGTGCGGCATTCTCTGGTCAGTTTAGACAAATTATCCTACAAGTACAATCAAAGCCCAGTTTTATGTCAAGCATGCTCACACTATTTTATGCAAATTAGGTTCTCTTACCTAAAGATTAACTCTACCATATCTGCCAATTAAGTGTCACGTGCAGTGTCCATTCATGATAGATTAGCTGGGGATTTTTTGTAAGCTATTGTATGTTAAATACAGGATATAATTGGATCATTACATTTAGAAAGTTTTGAAGCCATTGAAAACTTAGGCTACTGAAGTCATATAGGAACGAGTGACATTTCTACTGATTGATTCAAGGTGTCTTCCTTTCCTTCCCACTCTTGCATTTGTCTCTATTAAACTATGTCCTAGATTCAAACCAGGGATCTCCAGTCCAGAAAATGCACACTGCCGGCGTTCTATTAACCAACAATAGTATCAGTAATGAAAAACCGCCTCAGCATAATGGCACCACAGCCATATGGTAAAATTGAAAAGCAACCTACATGCCTATTAGAGTCACAGGTTAATTTTTTTAATGCATATTTGTATTTATAAAGAATCAATCAAGATTTCTTCAGTCAGTTATCTTGTTGCCTGCTGTTGACTCCTGACTCAAGTAGTCTCTATACCAGCGGTTCTCAACCTATGGGTCGCGACCCCATTTGGGGTCGAACGACCATTTTATGGGGGTCGCCAAACAACGCAATCCGCCATTTTTCCCCCTCGGGGCGCCGCCGCGCATGCGCGCCACGCATGGGGGCGGCCCCGCGCATGCGCGCCGCGCATCCGTGTGACCGGGGGTCGCCGTATAAAAAGGTTGAGAACCGCTGCTCTATACAAAGGACTCTTTGGTTGCAGAATTCCCCTGATAATTGTAATTCATTGTGTTCCTAATTAGTTTTCAGAGACTATGTCTTTATTTGGATTATTGCAGTAGCATAAATTTCCCATCTAAATGTTTAGTTTGCACCAACTGCAACATCTCTGTACAAATACAAACTTAAATTATTATTTTTATCTGGCATGAAACTCAAAGCAATATTCATGAGGTTCCTCAGTGGATTGCTTCTAGGTTCTGGACAGACCAGGCTTACTTTTTTTTAGTAGGGTGTCAGACCTGCCCCAAAACAATCATCAGGCCAACGATGGAGATCCCGACATAGGATCACTCCATCCTATGCTTTTAGAACCTTAGTGTGTTCAAACATTGCATTAAATGAGAATGTGATTTGGTTTTGTTTGGTTTTACAACAGCATTTATGCGATAACCGCTCAGAAAAGGACATCTTATGGCATTTTCCTTCAGTAGAAAAAAATTAAATAGAAGGAAACATTTGTACAAAATATTAAAGAACTTTTACACACCACTCGTAGGATATTGCATATTACAAAGCAAAGCCCAAGTTTCTAGCATCATACATACTTTCAGCAATGACACTGGATGTCACAAAAGTCCTCTAGAGTGATAGAGAACATCCCAGGAACCAGCTTACTCTCTCTCTTGCAAATGTTTACTTTGTGACTGGCCAGGTCCAACATGGCAGTCCTTTTTGAAAAGGCAAGAGTCGCATAGAAGTCAATTTATAAATGTGCTCTCAAAATTCTAAAGGTATCCTTCACTCAGAATGATCGCGTGTCCCTACTTTATCTTTTAATGTACAGGTAGTCCTCGACTTACAACAGTTTGTTTAGTGACCGTCCAAAGTTACTGAAAAAAGTGACTCATGACTATAATGACTCAAATTTAAAAGTGTTATATTTCAAATCCAGTCATATAGTTAACTCAAAGGAAACGATCTTATAACAAACAAATATATTTTAATGAGAAAGATTACTTGCGTTCACGTTGAGATTGGTGCTGCTGGAATTACATGTTTGTTCATCTTTCAAATCCTTTCCTTAGGTAAGAAGATTTTGCTCTTTATACCATCTTATAAGGAAACCTTCTATGGCCCATGCTTCTTACAGACAAAGAGATTCCCACGTGGCTTGTGTCCAGGAAGTCTCCCCAAGACCTTTGGAACTCCTCCCACTGACCCATCCACATACCTAGCATTTAACCCAATAACTGCCAGGCCTTCCAACATAGAGCTGGGCTATAGAGCTATATGGGTCATAGAGCTCTATGGGCCAGAACACTCCCCGCTTGGAAATTTATATTTCCACTATTAAAATAGTAAAAACGTAACATCAAGGCATGCAATACTCATTGTGGTTAACTTGTGACTAACTAGGTAAAAACTTGGTATCAAACATGCATAATTATAAGGTAAACATAAAACATGCACAATTATGAAAAGGCAAGTGTTACATCAAACAATGCATAAGACAATACATAATTTGAGGTTTAATCTTCTGGTTCAGTCTTCATCGGCGATGGACCGGTTCGGTGATCAGCCTGGTACAAGTGTCTTTGAGTCACGACCTGACTCATGTGGCTTCATGATCTGGATCTCAGCTGGGTAAACTAGTTCGTCAAGTGGGTGGGCCCGGTGCACAGGAACCGTGGGCCAATAGTTCTGGTATGCAGCCTTGTCTCCCAACGAGACAAGGTCTTCTTCCTGTGAAGGAAACTGGAACCAAATCTGGAACAGAAAAAACTGGAACCCAAGCTTCTCGGGAATAAGGGGAACTGGATTCACAGGATACTCAGGAACTGAAAAACCTGGAAAGACATAAACAGCTGGATCTGAAGAGGTTCAATTGTCTAAGCTGGTCTTCCTTAGCAACAGGACTCGGTCAGTGATTAGTCTGGTGTAGAGCTAGTTGCTTGTCGTGATTCCATAGGCAGCATCTTAGGTTCTAGGTGTAAGGCTGCTGGGTGCCTGTCGCTGTTGCACAGGTGGCATTTCACATTAGCTGTGCAGTCCTTGGCTATGTGATCCATAGAGTCACAGCATTTGAAACATATCCTATTCTCTTTGAGTAGGGTCTTTCGGTCATCTAGGGATTTCTTCCTAAATTCTCTGCAATCATTTAGAGAGTGAGAGAACTTGTGTATCGGGCAAGTTAGGCCTTTGGTAGTTGGATGAGGGTTCGAAAGAGCGCTTCTCGGTGTTTGTTCGTCTGGAGACTTCTTTGGGGAAGGCGTGATGTCAGTTTTATACACCAAAGGTATGGTTCTGTCCGTAGCTTGGGAAGAACTTCGGTTGGGGCCGAAGTTGTCATTTGTTGGCTCGAAGTTGCTGGCATTATGACGTAGTTTTGCTTGGTTGGTCACAAATTCAGCGAGTACAGCGAAGGCGGGTGGTGCGTTAGGGTCTTGGTTCCTGTGGGTTTCTGATATTTTGGCCCATTCATCCCTTGACTGCTTTGGTAGTTTTCTAACTATGATCCTTTGCTTCTCGAACTGATCGAGGCAGGTAAGTTTCGGCATGTTGGGTTGCTCGCGAACTGAATGTAGCATCGAGAGCGTGTCTGCAAATTCCAACATCTGGGTGTGATCATTGATATTGATGTTAGGGAAGGTGTAAATGCAATCTAAGAGCGACTTTTCTGTCAGTTCATGTCCGCCATACCGCTCGTCGAGCCTTTCCCAAGCTTTGAGAAGGGCGGTGTTTGGGTTGCCTAGGTGGGCTAGTTGAGTGTTCTCTACTAATCGTGTGGAAGCCGGTCCCAGCCATGTTTTCATGTGTCCGAGCACTTCGCTCGATGTTATAGCTTCATCTTGGATGGCGGTTTGGAACGTGAGCTTCCACAATACGTAGTCCTTTCCCGGTTTATCGGGGAATTTGTGTACACCCTTGGATGCCAGATCTAGTCTGCTTCTGTAAAGTCTCATAGGGGTGTAACCGGGTGGCGATGGTACCTCGCTTCCAGGAGTGGGGGCGTGTGCCATGTTTGGCTGGTAACTTCCTTCGGCGTAATGGTGGCTGGGTGTATTTTGCCATGTCACGTGCAAGGGACCTTGTTGGCTTGGTCTGAATTCTGCTGCTCTGGCATTGAGCTGAGGGAGCCCAGGCTCTTGCTTGCTTATGTGTTGGAAGGTCTGTGTTTCTGGTAGAGTGTAGCTAGCTTCCTGGTAGGCTGTCAGAGCTGATGCTCGAGGCTGTCTTCTGTGGTCAGGAGTGGTGGCAGTTTCTTGGGGCGCTTCCTCCTGTTGGTGCAGCAGGGACTCTAGCGACTCTAGCGTGGCTCTAACTCTTTCAATCTCTTCCTTGAGCGACGGCTGGTGCTGCTGTAGGGCTGTTGGCGCTATAAGTGGATCCATCCGATAGCCATTAGTGGTATGGTTTGGTGGGTTCTGTGGGGTAATAACGGTGGGAAGATCTTGGGGTACTCCCCGCTGTGCAATTGTCGCCGTTGCTGGGGTAATAATGGTGGAAAGATCTTGTGGTCCTCCCCGCTGTGCAGTTGTTGCCATCAGGTTCAATGTGGCAGCAACGGCAGGAGGATCTCGTGACCTAGGTGTCGTGTCATCAACTCTGAGGTTGACCAGCGAATCAGGTCGTTGAGATTCCTCTGTTTGTCTACTCGGTCTTGGGGGGCTCGTGGCTGGCTGTGGTGCTCTCATCTGTGCATTCTGGAATGTGCTTTGGTTGTCCACATAGGTCTGTACGCGGCTACGACGCTCTTCGTTTTCCAGTTGTTGTCTGTCTGGCAAGAAAGTGGTGTACTGGAGTATTTTCTGAAGGCCTTCCGCTCTAGCCATTTTGTCTGCCATAATTCTTTGGCATTGAGTAAGTTCAAGTTCGTTTTGGGCGTCCTTTCTTTTGGCTGCTATAGCCTTCAGCTTGGCCTCTATTTCAGTTTCCTCAAGTTCTATGGCCAACAACTCCTTCTTTTTCTGCCTCTCCTCTTGTGCCACACGAAAGACAGCTTCAGCGGCTTTAGCATCTAAGATTATTTGCTCTTCTTGTGAAATTCTGGATGCTCGGCTGCGGCGGGAGGATGCCTTCGAAAGGCGGGAGGCGCCTGTGACATGTGATTGTTGGGACACGCTAGAGTGTGCCCTGGACATGTGGCGGAAGGATGAGGCCTTTCCAGAAACCTGAGATGGATCTGCGTGCGATCGTTGGGATGGTGCATGTGAAAGGCATGAAACTTCGGGCTCGGCTCTGTCAACCGGACTGCCTCTGTGGTGAGGCTCGGGCTGTGGGAAACTCTGTGAGCTTTCTAGAAACTTCTTGCGTTCCTCGTTTAATAGCTGGAGGCTTTGCATCTCGCTGTCGACACTTGGGTCTCTTAATTGTTCTTGAACGTCCTTGAGTTGCTGTTCAGAGTCCATCCATTGCACATAGGCGTCTTCCTTATCTCCTTCCACTGCGTGTGCCCATTCTGGGGAGAGTTCCTCCTTCTGTTCGTGGTAGAGTTTGTATAATCTCTCCCAGCTTCTTTCATGGCGCCTGTGGATGGTGTGCCATTTCTCCATCAGATGTGAGTGCATGGCTTCTGTGAGCTTTCTGCATTGTCTAAGATCGTATTGACCCTGAGACGTTTTTGGCTTTGTTGAGGCTTGAGTTTCAGCCTCTGCATACTGGTCAATGTTGGTTGTGTGCAGAATCTCTCCTGGACTGACTGGTTGGGGTGTGTCAACTAGGCTAGTTAATTGAGCCCCTTTGTCCAAATCAGTAAGACACTCCTCCATGGTTAGGGTAGGTTCCGTGTCCTTCTCAGCTATTTTGAAGAGAATTTGAAGAACTTCTCTCTTTGACCACTAGGGGCCGCTACTTGTAGATCAGCTTCTGAGGTGCTGTCTGTGGGTGGAGATGCCACTGGGTGCGTTCTCTTGTGTTTGTGGGTACTTCAGTGCAGTTCACCCCTTCACCACTAGGGGTCGCTTGCTGTGGGTCAGCTACCAGGGTGCTCTGGCTTCGAGGTTCACCCTTTGTCCACTAGAGGGGCTTCTCTGGGTGCGGTTAAAGGCTTGCGTGTAGAGCTCCTTTAACCACTAGGGGGCGTCTGGAGAAAGGCTAGCCAAATTCTTCCTATTACCACGTTGCTAGTGAGCCACTGAGTTGCAGGCCGGAACTCCGGGTCATCAGCTGTGATAATGAGCGAAGGCAATTGGCTCTTGCTTCCTGTCTCTCAAGCTGGAACAGCTTAGCCTTCAGCTTGAGTGAGTGAATGCTTCTGATAAGATCACTCTGTGCCCTTTGTGGGGTGTTGGTAGCTTGGGATAACTTTAAGTAGCTTGTACTTTAACTAACAGATTTGCTCTGTTGTGTGCTGAATTAATTGTGGCTGTTGTGGCTCAGCTAGAAAAAAAAAAAATTGCATGACCACCAGGGGGTGCTTCTTCGATACCTAGGGCTGTCACTATGGCAACAGATGAGTTTATTGAAAGGCAATAAACCTTGCTTTTGTTTGAACTTTAGAGGCAGTCATTAAACAGTTCGTTGTTTCAGGCTGCGTGATTCACTGGCAAAGAGGGGAAGGGGAAAGGCCCAAGCTCCTTTTGGTGTTAAAATTCAAACTTTTCATGCAAGAAACAAAGTAATTTTGAATCAGATACAAGGCACTTTTCATTTTGAAAGTTAGCTAGCAAGTGAATTAGCATAACAAAACTTCTGAATCACTCCTTGAGAGCTGTCTTCTACACAGACACAGCTTGGCTTTGCAGGCTCTTACAAGCATCAAGAGAATTTTTACTTGCTTGAAGGTTTATGCGGAGAAAAGGCTGACCAATTTGATTCTCTTTCTTCAAACTGTTGCAGCTTTGAGAGGAGAATTAATCTTTGCCAATTTACTATTTGCTTTCAAAAGATGGCACAAATTATGAAAAAATCTTCTTACTATAATGACTCAAATTTAGAAGTGTTATATTTCAAATCCAGTCATATAGTTAACTCAAAGGAAACGATCTTATAACAAACAAATATATTTTAATGAGAAAGATTACTTGCGTTCACGTTGAGATTGGTGCTGCTGGAATTACATGTTTGTTCATCTTTCAAATCCTTTCCTTAGTTAAGAAGATTTTGCTCTTTATACCATCTTATAAGGAAACCTTCTATGGCCCATGCTTCTTACAGACAAAGAGATTCCCACGTGGCTTGTGTCCAGGAAGTCTCCCCAAGACCTTTGGAACTCCTCCCACTGACCCATCCACATACCTAGCATTTAACCCAATAACTGCCAGGCCTTCCAACATAGAGCTGGGCTATAGAGCTATATGGGTCATAGAGCTCTATGGGCCAGAACAATGACCATTTTTCATATGACCATTGTGAGATCCTTATAGGCATGTGATCCAAATTCAGACTCTTAGCAACACTCATATTTATGATGGTTGCAGCATCCCCAAGATCACGTGATCACATTTTGTGAACTTCTGACAAGCAAAGTCAATGGGGGACGCCAGATTCACTTAACAACCGTGTTACTAACTTAACAACTGCAGTGATTCACTTAACCACTGTGGCAAGATAGTAAAATGGGGCAAAATTCAATAACTATTTCACTTAGCAACAGAAATTTTGGGCTCAATTGTGGTTGTAAGTTGAGAACTACCTGTATTGTATAACAGAATAGCAGAGTTGGAAGGGATCTTGGAGGTCTTCTAGTCCAACCCCCTGCTCAAACAGGACCCTATACCATTCCAGAGAAGAGGCTGCCCAGTCTCTTCTTAAAAGCCTCCAGTGATGGAGGCTCTTTCAGTCATGAAGCCTGACAATTATTTTCCATCAATAAACCATGTGTAAACAAACCATGGTTTAGCAGTGTGAATAAGGTTAATCGCCTTGAATATTGGTTATTAAGTATACTTTAAAGTTATTTTCCCCACTATTTACAAAGACATAATAGAGCAGACCAATTCAGTTTGGTTATAGCTAATAACACAATCCCAGACATGATTTACTCTGAAGTAAATCTTGGTGAATTCAGTGCGGCAGCCTTGTTTGAATATTTCACTTTACAATTCCTGTATCGATTTACTTCGGGTGATGAGTTCCAATAACTATCAAATTAAATTATTCTTCCAGCAAATTTCACAGAACCCCTTTGCAATTTTCTCCTTCTCTTTCCCCTTTCCGTTCCTTCCCCCTCCCTCCTTTCTCTTCTTTTTTCCCTGCCTCTGTTTTCAATCTTGGCTTATCACGATCATATTTCATGCCTGATGCATCTGGAGGGAAAATTCAATATTGAAGAACAGAGTAATCCAAGGCTTTCCTTCATTTCTGTCCTTTATATCCTAGGGCTGTCCCATCTGAATGGCTGGTTTCGATTGTGTTGCATTTGGCAATTGCTAGTTGCTACCAGCCTGTCTAATCCTTTTTGTGGCTCCTTATCACTTATTCTTGGCCTCCCTCCCCCTACCCCCTTTAATTTTGTCCGTTTTGCCTTCACAAGTTGCTAGTGTGTATTTTTGCCTCCTTTAAGAGGCTTGATGCTTTCCTTCATGGTCTTTCATTCAGGTTTCTGGTCAGAAACACAAAGACATGACCAGAGGTTAGCATCACATCTTGACAGTTAGCATTGCATTTTTCTCATCAACAAGAGAGAAAATCACCATTTTCCAATAAAAGGCTATGCCCCTTGAAGATTGCCATTATTGATAAGGCAGACTAGAAAATGAACCTCTAAATTGGTCATACTGAATGAATCACTATCTTCTGAAACTTTTCTTCCATAATGCTAATCTCACCTTCTATTCCCCATGTTAATCTCCTGAGTTAAACTGACTTAAATCTCATAAGAACAGTGTAGAACAAAATGAATAAATTCCCCAGGGGGGAAAGAACTAACCACAACGTTATCTATTTAAGAAAATAGAAGAACTGAAAGAGCATTGTTGGCATCCTTGCATGAAATGTAGTAATGTTTGAAATATATAACACTCTTAGGAAGCTGAAATATGGCAGTGCAAGGCAAATATATTATAGGTATGCTGATTGCATAAAATCAGTGTGTTCTCATTATGTAAATGTTCCTTGGGAAAACTTCTGATTCTAAATAGGTGCCAGCTTTGCTTTACTGAATTTGTAAATTAACCTAAAATAATTCTTAGATGGTAGAATTTGACTTCACAGATTTAATGAACTTAATTCCAATACCTAACATTGGGCAGAATCATTCTAGAGTAATGATGCAGCATATCTTTCTCACATGATTTTGGAATGCTGCAGTGAGCAAGAATGAGGTGGCTCTTGCGTGATCTCCAGAGTCTCTGAAAATTGCACAAAAATGGGGCATGCTTTTGCACAGTTTTCTCTGAGCATTCAGAGCATTCTCTGAAGCCACTTCAAGAACAAAGACCTTGTGCAACCTGGAGCAGCTTTGGGTATTCTGACGGTAAGTGGCATGCAGCAGAACCTGAAAGATGCTGGATTATGGGAGCAATCCTTTGGGAAATGGTGCCCTTTTGAGCGGCAGCACTGGTGACAGGGTTAAAGTTGAGGCCTAGCTGTCTACTTCAAGTCCAGCTTCAAAACTGCTATTCAGGGTGGCTTAGATTTGGGGGTGAGGAGATAGAAAACTCTCTTTTGTTCTGTGTGTATCACCAGCAATGTCATTTTTAAAGTTTTTGACCCACTGAACACAAAAGGTTCAGCATCAACTAGAATCTACATTCCGATGTGGTTATCCTAAGAGGGATTCTTTAGAATCCCCATATGTGAAATATCTTGGGGACGGGGCTTGGAGACAAAACTTGTGATGGATTCGACAGAGTAGAATAACATATTCTTTGCTATTTACTCAGCTAGTGTTCCAGAAATCAATAAAAATGTTCCTGTTTCAACAGGTCTTTGGACTCTATGGGGGGTATAGGTTTCCATATCTCTTTTGGTGGTTTTTAATTTTGTTTACTGTTTTTATGGGAAAATGTATTTTATTGGAATTTGATTTTTGAATGATATTTTACTATTGTCAACTGAAAAGTTCTGATTTGGTGGTATACAATTTTATAACAACAATTACAACTATAATTGTATTTTTTGAAAACCAGCAAAACCAGTAAAAAAATCCTGGTATCTACCATAACTGCCCATTCTGAGTAGCTCTTGTTGTGCCCTTTGGCATTTAAAACTTTGACTTCTGATTCAGTAGATTCTTGAACTATTGTTTTGCTCATTCTACTTGTTGGAGGCTTAATAAATGGATATATAGTATTCCATAAGTGGTACTTCTTCAACAGAACCAGGATATTTTCAATAGGCTCTCCTACAGATCTTGGGCAGATTTATAACAAGATACATGATCTCTCAGGCAGTCATGGTGTAATTTTTTAAATGTAAATAGTTGACAACCAGTGCAGATGTTCTAATATAAACTGCCTAAGAGGGAAACTGGGATCTAGGGGTTCCATTATAGTAGCCATATTTGTGTGAATGTGCTCTATGAATCTAGTGACAGCTGAGGATCAAGAAACAAAGAATAGATATAATCCTCTATAAGGAGAGCAAACCCATTCAAAACAAGTTGAATATCACTCCCTGAATCTAGTTTCTTTTATTTTATCTGGATTTAAATTTGTATATTTGCTACTATTGAATACTCCAAGTTTCTGGACAGTTTTCAATCAACAGGAAATATCAGTCAATCTTTATAGAGGAGGATATAGAACACAACTGGTAGAAGGTGTAGAAGGAAGGATATAAAGAAAACCATCAACTACAATATATGATGCACATTTTTCAGAAAGTCCATCCTTTTGGAGTCAAGATTGTGGATGTTAATTGTACAAACATAGGGCTAACAAATTTGGGCTACCAAAATCTGAATAACCTCTAGATGGCATCTGGATTTTTATACTATCTAAATCAGCGGTTCTCAACCTATGGGTCGCGACCCCATTTGGGGTCGATCGACCTCTTTTCGGGGGTCGCCAAAGGTGGCGATCCGCCATTTTGTCCCCTCCGGGGGCGCGCTGCGCCTCCGGGGGGCGGTGCCGCGCACGCGCGCCGCACGTGGGGGTGGCGGCATGCCTCCGGGGGGCGCCACCGCGCATGCGCGCCGCGCATGGGGGCAGCGGCGTGCCTCCGGGGGCGCCACTGCGCATGCGCACCGCGCACAGGGGCCCTGCCCCCATGCGCGCCGCCACCGCGCATGCGCATAACCTTTGTGTGACGGGGGTCGCCGTCACACAAAGGTTAAGAACCGCTGATCTAAATCCACAATTTTGTTTCCCAAATATGGTTACTGTAACATAAACAGCACATTGTATTTTCAAAACAGCAACATCTTTTGTAAGATACTGAATAAAGTAACACACCAAGATATTCTACTTGATACATCATTATCAGCATTCACCTGAACAGTTTTGAGAACTTGAACTGTTACTTTGAATATGAAACATCTCTCTTTCTGTTCTCAGCATAAGAAATTACTAAAGTTCTTGTGATGCCACAATAGGGCTGAACAAGAGATCTGAAACAGGAGTTTTACAATATGCATCTGTGCAAACAATGCGTTCATTTTGATCATGTGCCTACTTTAAAAATTTCCCATTGTTGCTGCATGTATATGCATGCAGTTACTTCACTTTGCTGGTTGCCCCAGCAGAAGTGGTACATGTGCAATGAGAACTGAAGACAAAAGTTGGAGCAACGTAAGCCTTGTAAAAGATATTAGTTCATCCATTCACTTTTCCTTTCAGACCTCTGAGATACATTCACCTTCAGTCTTCGTTAGGTTCTACCTAGTCCAGAGACTAGATAAGTGCAGCCAAGGCTTGGTGGTGCATAGCTTTGGTCTTTCCAACAGAGATACGGTTCAGGAATATATGCAGTAATGAAATGCTCTAGAGTCTAGAGAGTACATCTCTCTTAACCTATATTATTACAATTCCTTAAGCATTACACATACATGCACACACACACGGATGCAGGCATACAGTATACTCGGTTTTGTTATAGAACTGGCCAGGTGATGCATGGGGTTGTGGAAGACAGGAGTGCTTGCCATATATTGATGGCAACGTGCCCAAATAAAGATTTTCTCACAGAAACCCTTACAGCTCTGCCTTTCATCCTTTGCCAGCATTTCATCATATGTCACCTCAGCTGTCCTTTTGTTGGCAATTAGGCTATGAGTCAAACATGACTTGCTGCAATGGCTGCTAACTTTTTTATCTCTGGTTGCTGTCATCCGGTTCTTGTCTGATTTCAAAGTTAACCTCCTTATCTTATCTAGCTTGCTTGCTTAGCCACATATTTCCATAGGGTCAAATTTTGGGCATTCTACTTCATCTGCTTCTCCCAACATTCTAATTTTCGTAACAAAGTAGCATGTGAATATTTTTTAACTTTTTAAGTAGTTATTTTGTCCATTTTGCAAAACTTTACTTTTAAATGCTTTGTGCTCTTATTAGGAAATAGTTGAGCTATTATTCCTTGTTTATAGATCATAACACTATGTACAGTATATGAATAGATCTTGGCTTCACTGTATATAAATAGCTTAAGATTATTCTCCTTTAAATTATACAGAAGGGATGATGCCTCCCCTTTCTGGAAAATAAACATGGTGAGATATTTGATTGTAATTTTTATAGCATCTTTCAGTGAAAAGTGCTAATTTGTTTTTAAAAGGTTAAAACTAGAATATACTAAAATAATGTTTTTTAAAAGTTTATTGTTTACAAAATAGTTCCACAGAATCTTTTAAATACACATCTCAAAATAAAAACAATTTTGTTTAAAAAAAAAAACTTTAGCCAGTAGGGCAAGGATTTCTATAACATGTCATATTTTTCTGGAACCTTTATCTGAATTTATAAATAAAACATGTTTTATGTTTTAGAGTAATCTGTTGAGAATTAGATGCTTTTTGTTTTGCTTGAAAAGTCATATTTGGACTTGTTAAAGGTGTTATATATTTCTGCTAAATCTTGTAACAAACATATTTTAGTCATTGGCAACCCTCCTGATACGCCAGCAAGTTTGAACCAGTAAAGAAAATGAGAATTTGCCTGTTTTTTTTTTTTCTTATTCACTCCCCAACTCAGGGAGGGGTGTGTGTGTGTGTGTGTATGTGTGTTTATTTTTAAAAAGTGAGTGCTAATTTCAGAAAAAATTGTAAAATCATATTTTTGCTTTAAAAGTCATATTTTTTTATTTAATTGGTTCTATTTAAATGATTTTAAGGTCATAAAAGCTTCATATTCTAACAGTTTTTGGTTATAGAAATCCTTGCCTTATTAATAATTTTCCAGGTGTCCATAAAGGATTGTGAAATCTGAATGCTGCTCAGACAATGTTTTTTTCTCCACTGAAAAATGTCTTCATATGAATACATGTTGATGAAGATCATTACAGATGAAGATCATTACAGTACAGATTCCATAACAGATGAGCAGAAATGAGCAGAAGACTAATCTCCTAAAAAATCATGCTTGCAAAAGATGGTCCAGTGTACTACCCAATGACAATTTTTTCTAACACTTCCCACTGCATCTGAATCAGTCCACAGTGAATACCTTGTTGATATCACTCCTCTAAGTTTGTGCTATCCAGAACTAGGTGAATTTCTAAATCAAATCCTCTAAAACTCACATAGTTAAAGCAACAAGCAGAGGAGCTTCAATGGGTGTGTGTGTGAGTGTTGCTCTGCTTCCCATCAGGCTCTCACTGCAGATTCCCAAACACCAGTTGTTGAATGAAGTTCTCCCACTTGTTGTCCCATAATCCCTGCAGTTTCCAGTCTCCTTGCCTGGCAAGCTAAGTTATCAGAGGGTAGATGAGCATCTAACCGGTCAAACTCATGAAGATGGAAACGAGTTGCCAGTTGGTTCACCATTCTTTTGAGAGCAAGGAATGCAGTAATAACTTGGAAGACAAGAAATACTATAAAAATTATGTTGACTGCTCGTTCCAAGGGTTGAATCCTTAGCCCTTCATTTAAAAGTAAGAAAAGAATTAGGGGCACTTGCAGAAGAAGACTCAGGAGCCAAAACCCAGCTAGTTCAGGAACCTATAAAGAAATGGGGGAAAAAGGAATCAAAATATTGTATCAATTTATCAACATAATTCAAAGAGCAAAGGGGTACAGAAAATCTATTGAACTGTATCAGTGCCCAAGATATAAACACAGAAAGATGCAAATTCAGAGTTATTTCAGTGGTCAGTGCTATTGTACAAGAATCCAATTTATACTTTTAAACATTCCAAATACTATTTTGGTATATTATTAACTCTTACTGTATTTCAGGAATTCAGAGAACCTTGATCTTATTTAAATAAGCCCCACCACAGCTATGAAATTCTGAACAATAGTAAACCCATATATTGAAAGAGCCAACAGAACCTGTCAAACTTTTGAGTCTATTGCAACAGAAAAAAATATGAAATAGACATAGGAAATATACATCTTTTTATGTTTGATATTGCCGTTCTCAAGGAAATCAACATGATTTCAATGTTTAAAAAAGGATCAAGAAGAGATGAAGTCAGTTATAAGCAAGTTAGCTTAAATCCATTATGTCTCCTTATCGTAGAATTTGTATTGTTGGAAGTCAGATGGTACATAAATGTAATAAACATTTTAAAGCTAACAAAAAGAATATAGAATAATATTTTATTTATTTATTAATCAAGCAATCAAATTTATACAGTTCCCAATCTTCCCAAAAGGGGACTGTGGGCAGCACACAATGATAAATTAAAAAAAGAATATAAAATAGATAAAAATCTGAAAGTTAAAGCAATAAATAACATAAAAACAAAAATACTAACCTCGGGTGAAGGAAGGATAAAAATGACTCTTCAGCAATTGAGCCATTGGGACAGATCTCCTGTTCCCTTGGAGCTCCAGGCCTGGCAGCATAAACAGGTCTAGAGGTTCTTAAAGAAAATCAGAAGGGATGGGCCCAGTCTAATTTAAGGAGGAAGGATGTTCCATAAAACAGGTGCCACAGCAGAGAAGGGATGTCTTCTGGGACCACAAGATGTAGGTCACTATCCTATGGTACCTGCAGCATATATTTTGTGTGAGATCTAACGGGCCAGGCTGATGTAATTGGGGAGAGATAGTTCCTCAGACAACCCGGTCCCATGTCATGAAGGGTGTTAAAGGTTAAAACCATCATCTTCAATTTGGACCCAAAAGCAAACTGGCAGCTCGCAGAGCAGAGATGTAACATTTGCTGCCTTAGGAGTGCACATAACTGCACATGACACTGCACCTGGCTAAATTAAGAACAAATTAGACTCAAAGATGGCCCTGGATTCAAATTATAAATTTTCCAATGTTTTGTTTTCAAAGAACTATATCCATTTGTTTAGAAAAGCGGCTCTTAAGTATGTGAAGGACACCTACCTTCTCCTGCAAATTTCCCATGTATCCAAGGTATAGACGTATAACCTCAATTAAAGATGTTAATATAATGCTTGTCACAAGGATGAATTTGTAGTAATCTGGTAAGACTGAATACTAGAATTGAGAAGAGAATGGAAAATAAATACTCCTCTTGGACAAATTAATTTTATGTATAAAATTGTCTTTTTGTAAACCATACCTCACTGAGAAGATACATGTTTTCTACTAACTTACTTACTTCTCAATCCATCTACATCAAACATACCACTCAGAATAATAAGATCAGTGGAAATCTTTTTTGCATTATTATAGGGGTATGGTAAAAAAGCAATAATTAAACACCTTTATAAGAATAACAGCATTCAAAGTAAGAGGTGCATCTATTGCCTTTTAGATCTTACCTTCAGCTGCAACATGGCAATGCTGCTTGCCCACCAAAAAGGAAAGAACCAGAGGTTGAAATATAGGGACATCTGTAAGGGCAAACTGGAGACTATTTCATTATCTGAAGAGACAGGAAAACAGCCATGAGGAACCTGTGAGGTACAGCATATTCTGCTGGCAGGATCCTTTTCTGACCTAAACACATCTGTAAGTTTGTGCTGAAACAGTGGCTTCTAAGAAATGCCATTCCATATATCATACAGAGACATTTTTGAAACTGTGTTTAGAGTTGAGGGAGGATAAATGGTCTGCATTCAACCTCTGGTTTTACATTGTGCCCCAAGTGATATTTTCCATATGATGTACCTCTTCTAGACTAAATATGAGCATTATCTTTGGTTCACATCTTGGGCTGCAATAGAGGTTACTGCAGTTAGTCTTTTTGGCAATAGTGTCATATTAAGAAAAGGAAAGGAACGTTTGAATAGTTTATATACTTTAAGGATTGGTTTTTGAGGATGGTGTAATTTTAAACAAGGACTATCCTTGATTTAAAAGGTTCTCCAGAGCCCAGACACTCCGTGATGAAGCCCCAATCGTGGTTTCGCGGTCCGGGCTCCACCAGGAAGTCTGGCAGCAACTTCGCAGGAGCCACCGCATGAATGGCGACAGTGCCAACACCGCCATCTTTGTAGCTGGCACCACGCCGGAGCCGCTCCCTCACCAATGTGGTTGGCATCGTCTCTGTTTTCGGGTCCTGTGCGGTTGTTGTCCGTAAATACAGTTCGGCTGAAGGAACTCAGCCGCCTTCTCACCGGCTCCGGCAAAGACATGGAGCAATGCGGACGGCCGCTCGAGAGCCGTTGCTAGGACAACGGGGCCCGTCTGAAGTTCTTGATGCAGTATCAGTACTGTACAAGCTCCGTCGCCTGGGGGAATTGCCGCGTGGTTATAACTTCCGGTTCCGATGCTCCGCCCGACACCGGGCAAGAAGGCGAGTCAACCCTTGGCGTTCCATTCTGGGCTGCCTTAGAGAGGGTTTTTTTTTTTTTTTTTTGCAGAGAAAGGAAGGAAGATTTCGCCTGGTGTGTTCTCTTAGGTGAGGCGACTCCCTCCTTGGTTTTGCTTGCAAAGAAAATTGGGACCGGGAACGGAAGGAGGAAATAGAAGTCTGGCAGGCATTCGTTTGGTTCGCTTCCTTTGCAAAGAAACGTTATGAAGAATGAATGTCTAAAGATACTGGCAGCGCTGAGCGGCAATGTGGTTCTGTTAAACGCTAAGGAGAAGTTGCAATTCTCATTAGTGAAGCCAAAGAGAGAAGGTGCTCGTAAACAAGACATTGGAAACAGCACCGTTAGGAATTAAAAATTGCCGAAATAAAGTTTACTGACTCTTACTACTAGGGCTGCGTTAGAGGAATTGCATTTGATGCCTGAGTTTTAGCAGGGCAGCGTGTTTCTTAAACGGTTTGCATTGGCTCAAGCATCTTAAGGCAATTAACAGTGAATTCCTTCGGAATTGTTCATCAGTAAGTTTAAAACCAGAGATGCTGTGAGCATCCTGCCAACGTAGGAACACAGCCTTCAGTCATAACTCCCCTTTGAGTTGAGCTTGATTCGGGTGAGTTCGTGGATTGCCCATGTATTTTTCATGGCAATGAAATAGAAATGATTTGCCATTGCCTTCTTCCGGGAAGTTTAACTAGGTACAAAATACTGTAAAAACACAACTCTGAATGATAATGACTCAGTGGTATATCAGATAGAGACAGTAGTTTGTTCCTTTGGGATCTTCTAAAGGATAACGGAATGAATTTTCCTAGCGGGTGGAGCTCCTGTGTGTGCAATTAAGCCTAATGGTTTGGTATATTGCCAGTTAGTGCATTTGTAAGAAAGGAATAGAAACAGCATTCTTTTGGGGTTGTCTGCATTCGTGCCATTCCTGTTGTTAATCCACATTCTATGTCTATAACATATAATACTTAGCAGCTTGATAAAACTCACTTTGCTTAGCAGCAAGTCTGAATAACTCTGCCACTTTGATATTGGAAATAATATGTAGCGATAATTAGTAGCCCTTCATAGCTTTATACTTTATGATTGTGAATTTTATTTTCCTTTGCTTTGTAAAATCCTTGAACTTCCCCCAGTTAACTGAAATACACATTAAAATAAACAAAAGCATCAATATCATGCAAACTAAAGCAGGCTTTGCGAGGCAAGGACCTTGCAGAGCAAACTACCTCCGCTATAGAATACGCAAAAGCTATCCAGCAGAGGCAGAGGCTGTGTTTCAGGGTTGTTTAGTCTTTTTACTTTTCAACCCCTGGGCAGTGTGCAAACCAAATATTTATTTGGAATAGTTTCAATTTTGGCAGTATCCACTCTTTAGGTTCTTATTTAGCAATGTGAACATCAAATATACCATAGGGAAATTTTAAAAAATTAAATGCATCTGTTAATATTCATATATAGATAAGAAAGCTTTTGTTTTTATAATACACTGGGTTTTTTTAACATTTTATTCTTTATTTTAGAAATTTACAAAATATAAACAGATTACCAAAATATAGAATGCAATGGTAGCAAAATCAAACTAATCAATCTGAGAAATCCTTGACGGTGATGGGCGGTTCAGATGTAAAAAATAAATAAGAATTAAAAAATTGAAAATTAAAGAATTAAAAAACCTCCACTCAAAAACCCTAAAAAAATATATCAAATTAAATACAAAGGGATTAGAGTTAGGTTGAAACTAAAGATTGAACAAATATATTAACCCTATAAGGTAGCCATTGGCTTACAAAAAAATCTATATTGTAGCATATAATACTATATTATAATTGGGTAAAAAAGGAAAATTGCATACTGATACCACTACTATCATATTATAAAATATAAAATCAATGCTAAAAATATTGATTTATTCTTTGATCAGAAGCAAATATTGCCTTTTCCAAAATGGATAAATTGCAAATTTCCAAAAGCCACTTCTTTGGTTTGGAATAATAACACTTTTCAAGTGCTTCAGCATAATTCATTTTGCTACCCCTTGTGCATGATACAACCTTAATTTAACCATAAAACATAAACAGTCAGATTCCAGAGATTTGGTATAAAATTCAATATCACATTAAACTTCTTTAATATTGAAGGATTCCCCATAAATCTGCTTTCATATATTGAAATACTTTTCCAAAAAGATATCAGAGAACCAAATCATCAGTAATTCCTCTAATTTTCTGCAACAGAAAAAAATTGGTGTCATCCTTTCAAGTACATTATTTGGGGAGTCCAATATATTCTATATTTTTTTATGAATGAGCTTTACTCTCAAACTTAATTGTAAGTTTCTATTCTCAGTATATTTGAATATTAGCATTACAAGCCAATAAAACGAAAATCTCCACATCTGTGCTTTTGGCTTTAAGATGGGGAAGGCACAAGTCCATTGAATTGCTATTGTTTTTGTCACATATACATTCTGCAAATAGAACAAAGACATATTTTTTATCCTTATGACAAGAATATTTTTTTTAAAAAAAAATGCATTTGTTCAATTATATAAGTTGGGCACTGGCTGTGCTCTCAGATTTAGGTCCTGGGGATGTTTGTCAGCAGCACAAGGCTATAAATGTTAGATGCATTGTAACTAAATGAAATACAAATCTTTCTGCAGTTTTTACATTTGCCAATCTAGAAACACAAGCATCCACTTAAGCATAGGCAAGCCAATTGTTTAATGTTTCATCAGAATGATTTAATTTTTTGTTTAGAAGAGAATCAGCACTACCGTTGGGCAGCTGATAAATTTTCTGATTCTAAAAGGAATTTAGAACCAGTGGCTGGTGCTGCAACCTGCTTTGGTGAGGCAGGTTCTAGATTTAATTCATCAAAATATGTAGCTTGTGTGAGTAAATGATATAGGTAGTCCATTTTTAGCACCATAGTTGGGACTGGCAACTCAGATGTTAACCAAAGTGGTGGTTGCTAAGGGAAATGTAATTCTGCTTATGATCTTACTTCAATTTTCCTTCATTTTACACATCTGCAAAAGTTAAATATGTGAGGATTAGCCATAAAGTTACTTTTTTATCACTGTCATAATTGTGAACTTTTGCTAAATGAAACATTCACTAAACAAGGATTACCTGATAAATTCTTGTGTCAGATAAACAGACATTAAGCTGTAATATTACACATTACCAAGTTAAGAGTTTATGAAAACAAAGTCTTTTATTTTCAATCTAAGCTAAACAAAGAAGATCTTCTGAATCAATGCAAAAATATGATCCTTAGTACTAATATATCATTTTGTTATAGAGAAGGCTTAGAACAGGGGTGTCAAACTCAATTTCATTGAGGACCGCATCAGCATTGCGGTTGCCCTCCGGGGGCCGGGTGGGTGTGGCCTACTGGGTGGGTGTGGATGGAGTGGGTGTGGCCTACTGGGTGGGCATGGCCAGCTCTACATCGTTCGCATCAAGGGTGCCTATGGGGGCCTGGGCAGGAGTGGGACAGATCTGAGGGTCTCTGGCAGAATGGGGTGGGACCCGGGCAAGCGCCAAGGCATGGTCCATTTCTTCATTCCTCATAAAGGGTGACACCTCCCCAGCATGCACCCAGGGGGCGGGGCCAACACAGCAGGGGCTGGTTCCTCGCTGTTTCTAGACGGCCTTGTGGAGCTAAGACTGAATGTGTTTCAGCATAGATGGCCACCATAAAATTGTACATTGGCTCCTGACTGGCCTGGGCCAGGGCCAAGGCAGCGGGGGCCATTCTCTCACTGTTTCCAGGATGGCTTCGCAGGCCACATGAAACCACTTTGCAGGCCACATCCGGCCCCCGGGCCTTGTGTTTGACATGTCTGGCTTAGAACTATTTCAGAACTGAGTGTCTTATAAATTGCTGTAATATAACTATGAATGAATGTGAGTGCTACTTCTTACAAGGAGAAAAATCGCTATATTTGAATCAGTGCTTAATAGTGGTTCTCTGTACCTATTAAATTTTTTCTTTCTGTATAGATATTTAAATACATGACTCAGGGACTTTTGATCATACTGGGTTTTTTTGTTACCAAGGCCAAAAAAAAAATGACAATGATCGCAGTCATTTGTGTGTATTTTTAAAAAGATGGTCAATCAATTTGCCATCCTATTGCCACAGTAACATTAAGGTCATTTTGTTAGCTCACAAGATTTCATGATAGCATAATCTTTAGAGCACTCCATCACTCTTGAGCATTAGGGGGGAAATAGCACGCCATGCCAACAAATGTTCATGCCAATAGCATACTTTGAAGACCATTTTGTTAGACAATTATGCTAAAGTCACTCACATTTTAACAGCCACTGCATATCTTGTCTGGCTCAGAAAAGATAATGTCTTACTAGAATGATCTGAATGAATTCTTCCACGTGCACTCTGATTTGATGCATATAATACATAAGGGTTATACAATGTATACTACTTACCATAATGTTAGTAACTGTCTTGCTCTTTCTTAATTCAATTTTTTTGAGTGCTGATACAAAAACAATATTAATTTAAATATTATAGTGCCACAAGTAATATTTTAAGGATTCACTCCCAATTTAGATGTCACTCCAAGTCTTTAATTATATTGCTGTACACACTTCTCTGATAGAAGTTCCCTGAAGATGGGCTGTTGCTGAAAGCTCAGAAGATTAAACCTCTGATCCCGGTGACCAATCCTGATTGGATCCTGCAAAATAGAATACTGCAAGCATCTCAAGGCTTGTGAAAGATAGCCATTTATGGAAACTGGAAACATTCATCTACAAAACAGAATCCTGTTAATGAGAAGCTCTGTTTTTATAATTCTAATTCCAACTTGTCACTGGAAGAGTGATAGATTACCTGAGCCATTTCAACTGGATTTTGTAAATAGACTTTCCAGAGTTCCAGATGTTCCTATACTGTGAATTATGTTGAACAGTGTTCCTCAACTGCAGCAATTACGTATGGCTTTCAACTCTCAGAATTCCCCAGGCAACCTGAGTTCTGGGAGTTGAGGTCCACACATTTTAAAATGGCTGAAATTGAGAAACACTGATGTAGGGTACCTCTTAGAAACTATATTTCAGTTACTGAATTTAACTCACCACCTAAAGATTTTCTAGTAAGAAGGGGCGTTGTCTTACCTGAACACCTTTTCTCAGCATGATGGTGTAGCATCCACCGGTGGGTAATCTCAGCCTTCCTACTCAGTTGAGACTAAGTCAGAATTTTAGCCACGCCTCCCTTGGGCGGTGCCTTTCCCAGTTTTGATGAGGCAAAGCATCCATGACGAAGTCTGACGCAATGGCTCCTCCTGTAATTAC